GGCCTCCCAAAGTGCTGGGATTACAGGCTTGAGCCACCGCGCATTATAAAAATCTGAAATATCTTGAACCAAATTTTAAAACATATTTTTTGAAGGAAAGAGGCCACTAACTCTTATGATATAGTACTTCATGTTTAATTTTCTAGTGAGTGAAGAATAATGTTTTATAGTACTAGTGAGGTACACTTCATGTTCAGAAGCATATGATTTGATAAGTAATAAAATATAAACTGAAGTAGTTTTCCCCGACAGGTTGCCAGAATAAAGCTCATTGCTGTTCCTGTTTTAATTTTTTAACTTTTTTTTCAGCAATGGACCAAGAATCTGGTAAGGCTGCCTGGCCCAAACCAGCAGGAGGATATCAGACAATTACAGGCAGGAGATATGGAAGAAGACATGCTTATGTCAGTTTTAAACCATGTATGACCAGGCATGAAAGAAGCTTAGGTCGGGCTGGTGATGACTATGAAGTGTTGGAACTAGATGATGTTCCAAAGGAAAATTCCTCAGGTGTGTAACATATAATTATTTAAAGGTTATTAATAGTTATATAGGAATTGGTCTTATAATTAAGTTTTTGGGTGGGTATTATGCATGTCTGTGAGTGCAAATGCAGCACACTTCCTATCAAGAAATTCTATTTTGAAATTATTATTGAATTTAATACTAATGGTGTATATATTTAAACATAGAAGAAAATAGAATATAGCCAATCATTAAAATATAACTACGCTGTCATAGTAGTGATTACAATGTCATAACCTCCAGCCGAAGGAAATCATCTTTGTATCGAAAAGAAATGTTTTGAAATTTTTAAAAACGTGGATCAAGTAGAGATATTTTTTCCCTGCATATGATATTTAAATAACTTTTCTTCTTCTTCTTCTTCTTTTTTTTTTCTTTTGAGATGGAGTCACGTTCTGTTGCGCAGGATGGAGTGCAGTGGTGCGATCTTGGCTTACTGCAACCTCCGTCTCCCAGGTTCAAGCGATTCTTGTGCCTCAGCCTCCTAGTAGCTGGGATTACAGGTGTTTGTCACCGCACCGAGCTAATTTTAGTATTTTTAGTAGAGACAGGGTTTCACCACGTTGGCCAGGCTGATCTCAAACTCCTGACCTCTCAAGTGATCCACCTGCCTTGGCTTCCCAAAGTGCTGGGATTACAGGTTTGAGTCACCGTGCTGGCCTTCCTTTATTTTATTTTATTTTTTTACTTTTTTAGATGGAGGTTTGCTTTGTCAGCCAGGCTGGCATGCAGTGGCATGATCTCGGCTCCCTGCAACCTCTGCCTCCTGGGTTCAAGTGATTCTCCTGCCTCAGCCTTCCAAGTAGCTGGGACTACAGGCATGGCATGCGCCTCCTCACCTGAGTAATTTTTGTATTTTTTGGTAAAGATGGGGTTTTGCCATGTTGCCCAGGCTGGTCTCGAACTCCTGACCTCAAGTGGTCCATCCAGCGCAGCCTCCTGAAGTGCTGGAATTAGAGGCATGGACCATTGTACCTGGCCAACTTTTCTTCTTTTAATTTCATCTCTAAATTTAACTTGACTTGTTTATTTTTTCATCATACAAAATCCAAAGGACAAGGAAGGCTTATTCAATTAAAATTTCTTAGTGATTTGGTGGTTTTGAAAAAGTATTTTGCAGCTATCCCATGTACCATAATTGCACATTTTTGGACTGGATTTGTCTTCTTCCTCTTGTTCTAAGCAAACTTGACATTTCTAGATTATTTTTGCTGTCATATGTAAGAACCTGAATTACTGACTAAGGTCATCCCATTAAAAAACCCTTTGTTCCCAGCTACTCAGGAGGCTGAGGCAGGAGAATTGCATGAACCTGGGAGGTGGAGCTTGCAGTGAGCCAAGATCGCGCCACTGCACTCCAGCCTGGGTGACAGAGCGAGACTCTGTCTCAAAAAAAAATAAAATAAAAAAACCCTTCATACAATATGTCATAGCCAAACTTCAGTTATTTTACAATTCATGAATTTTTATTCCAACAAATCTCTAATGTCTTCATTTTTTATTGTTAGTGGTGATGCAAGATAGTTATGCTTAAAGTAATTTATAGATATGATTTTACTCATGTTTGAGAATTCTCACAGTTGAACTATTACAAGAATCAACATATTGATCTGTTATTTTCAGTCATAACTATAACATATCTAAAGTTAACTTATTATAAATGTATTCAACAATCGAATTTATAATCTAATACGTCTAGATACTGAGATATAATTTTGTGAATTGCCAACAAAACACAATAGGGTCTAATTTCTCTTAGATCTGTAACTATAGTTATTATATCTGTCATAAGTACTTTTGAAGGCTTTTTGTTTGTTTGTTTTTTTGTTTTTTTTGTTTTTGCCTGCATGTAATAAAGAATGTGAGTTTGGAAGTCACTGGGAGGGCAGATTGGTTACCCTAGACTCCACTTACGAGAGGCTTCCCATTGTATAAGCTCTCAAGAGCTTCTCCTTTATATGTCTTGCAGAATGCATTAGATATTAGGATTTAGATAGAAAACCGCCAAAGACATGTGAGGGAGATGATAGTGAAAGGCTATACATTGACATAAATGAACTCATAGAGTAACCAGTCTATATCCCCGGTTAAGTTAAGGAGCATAGAAGTGCTTGGTAAATAAATTTACTCATATATTCAAGTAGGCAATAATTGGTATGATTTCCACTTAAGTGATAGTTATTACATAAAATTTTATCTAAGTTAATCCTTCAAAATATGTTTTCTTTTGTTTTCTATGAAGGTTCCAGTCCTTTGGATCAAGTTGATTCTTCTTTGCCCAGCGAACCTATATTTGAAAAAAGTGAAACAGAAATTCCCACTTGTGGTTCAGCATTGAATCAAACCACTGAGAGCAGTCAGTCCTTTGCTGCAGTACATCATAGTGAGGAAGGCAGGGATACCTTAGGAAGCAGTACAAATCTTCATAATCACTCTGAGGGAGAGTATACTCCAGGAGCTTGTAATGCTTCAAGTGTCCAAAATGGAATTGCTTTGGTTCATACAGACTCTTATGATCCAGATGGCAAACATGGAGAAGATAATGACCGTCTTCAACTTTCTGCAGAAGTCGTGGAAGGTAGCAGGTATCAGGAGTCATTAGGCAATACAATATTTGAGTTGGAAAACAGAGAGGCAGAGGCACACTCTGATCTTTCACCACCAGTTCCCTCATTTAACTGTGAAGTAAGAGATGCATTTGAAGAGTTAGATTCTGTACCGTTAGCGAAAAGTTCTGCTGGTGATACTGAGTTTGTCCATCAGAATGGCCAGGAAATTCAGAGGTCTTCTCAAGATGAAATGGTTAGAAAGAAACAACAAAACAATGCTAGCCAGGAAAGACAGACAGAAAATTCAACTGAAGATGCAGCCTACGGTCCAGGGCATATTTGTAGTGAACAAAATACCAATGATAGGGAAAAGAACCATGGAAGTTCTCCTGAACAGGTAGTGAGGCCAAAAGTTAGAAAACTGATAAGTTCAAGCCAGGTAGACCAAGAAACAGGTTTTAATAGGCATGAGGCGAAACAAAGAAGTGTTCAAAGATGGAGGGAGGCTTTGGAAGTTGAGGAAAGTGGCTCAGATGACCTGTTAATAAAATGTGAAGAATATGATGGAGAGCATGACTGTATGTTCTTGGATCCACCATACTCGAGAGTTATTACACAAAGGGAAACAGAAAATAACCAAATAACACCAGAAAGTGGAGCCACAGCAGGAAGGCAAGAAGTGGATAACACCTTTTGGAATGGCTGTGGAGATTATTACCAACTCTATGACAAAGATGAAGACAGGTAAGGTCACATCCAGTACTTTTTCAGATTGTGTAGTAAATGAAGTGGTTTCTTTCTAGAACCCTGTTTGATGGTTGGGCTATTGGATAAGATCAGGCAATTAGACATTTTGACTTACCAAATATTCTTATTTACTGAATGCTAACCATGCATGCAAACTACTCATTAGAATTTTTCACAAAAAAAAGTTTTTGAGATTTTAGTAGTTTACAGAAATAAGTTCAGATAATGATTATTAATTATTATAAAGGGATAGAGATGCTAGTTAGTTCATGGTATTTCAATTAATAAAATGTAAGATAAACATTTATTGTATTTTTTGAAAACCTACATTAAGCCAGTCTTGGTTTAAAAAATGATTAATGTCACAAATTATTGGTTGGTAATACTTCATTAACATTGCCAGTAGTTACTAATATCACCTGTTTCCCTCTTTATCTATTCTTCTTGTGGTCTTCCTATTGCTAAGTTTATTTTTTACTTATTTTTTTCTTAGCATTCAGTTCTCATTAACAACTCTGTGTGGTAGGTTCCATTATTTCCCTCATTTGTAAATAAGGAAACTGAGGCACAGAGCGTTAAATAACTTCCTAAGGTCACAGAGCAACTGAATGGTAGAGCTGGGCTTTGAGTGCCTGACTAGGTATTCCAGAGACTGTTCACCATTATTCTTTGCTATTTTCAAGAGAACATAAAACTTATAATAAACATTCTGATTGCTCTTACAAACCTGTATCTTTTTTTTCCAAACCATAAGACAATAGAAACAAGAAAAAAATGAAGAATTTCTTTGTTCAGTTGTTGAATTTCCATTACCTCAGTGTCCAGATTTTCATGAGTCCTTGTAAGCTAGTTGCACCCCTGACAGTGCTCAATTATAGTGCAATTGCAAGATTTTATTAGCTAGTAGAAATAATTGTGTGGTTTTTTTAGCTAGAAAGTACTATGGAAGAAATATACCATTTTGAATATGAAGGCATTTTAATTCATGTCATAAAACAATTCATTTGGTTTTCTTCGGACATATGAATTAAGTTACTATAATACAGAATGTGTAATTTATTATAAAAAATATTTAAAATGTAATTTCTGCTACTCTTTCAAAGTTTGTAAACTTTAAGGGTTAGTAAGTAATTTTTGTATGATACATTGTTTTTAAGCTAAGGGTAAAGATTTTTTCAGTTCAAGCCCACAGTCTTTTATTCAGTATCCACACTTCTAAAAACAGAAATTGGACACAAAGCCTGACTTGATGTTAACTTCCTGGATAAGCAGATCTGGATCTGAATTGAAATGAGAGTATTTTTTCAAATATTTGTGTATTTTACTGCAGAAATATGATTATGTTTGATTACTGTGTGCTGGCCTGGACCACGCTGGGGATTGTTAAGTAGTATTTCTAAATCTGGGAAATATATATAAAAATTCCAAAACACATTCAGCCCTAAGATTTTGAATTAGATTGCAAGTCTCTAATATTATACCTCTAGGTTACTATTTTTTTTAAAAAAGACAAAACTTACAGTCTTTGATAATTTATTTTTTTGAAAGTGTAAGGTACTTGTATTCTTTTCCCCCAGTTACTCTTTTTCTTCTTTAAGGAGAATCATTTAATTTGGCTGTACCTTTGTCATTTTGGGCAAAATAAATACCTCTCTTCTGCTTGCTTTTTATAGTCGGTTATAATGTCTTATGATGAAGTTAATGAAATTGTTATGTTGTTTGCCAACCCCTAGAGAAAGGGTAGTCTTCCTGGCTCCTGGATTTTAAACTGATTTTCTTTGTTTTGGGGGTGGTCAGTGGTAGAAGTGTATTCTTTGCCTGGAAGGACCCTGGACTTTTGATAGTTATAAGGTATTTTCTTAGTTATTTGTAGTTCTGGTTGTTCCCTTATTTTTAATTTTTTTTCTTAAATGATGTCAATATTCTGAACCATGGTGTGTATATATATATATCACATATATATATATATATATATTTTTTTTTTTTTTACAAGCACAATGTGTAGTTGGGAAAAAGACATTTACAGTTAATAGAAACTTTGTCCTTTTAAATTGCTAGTAATATATTAACTACAGAGCCCGTGGTTAGGGTATGCCAAAATGATGGAACTACTTGAGGATCATTCTTTAAGACACACTGAAATGCTGAAAACACTTAAAAGTTTTTTGTTTTGTTTTGTTTTAAAGAATCAGAATAAATTCTAAAGGATAATGGTTCTGCCTAGGACTGTACTTGTATTTTTATCCATAGCCTTAAGATATGTTTTAGGATCTCAAACTGTCTGTACAGACAGTTTTCTGTACAGACTGTTCTATTTCTGTACAGAAACTCCATTTCTATGCTGATGTTTCCTGTTCCTCTACCCTAATTCCCTGCAAAGGATTATAATTGCCAGGGTGCCTTTTTAATATGGTGCCAGCTAAAGGTTGGAATTTAATAGCTGTATACTCCTATTTAGTTTCATTTTGCCCTTGTTCATCTCCCTGATGTTTCATTGTCATCCTGCCTATTTCTTGTATTAGTAGATTGGAGAAATGGTGATACTAGTCTTCTCAGGTTTTGGATGGAAAGTGTAAGAACTGCTGCTTAATTTGAGTCTGTGAACTTTGAGTTTTCTTTGTAAAGCTTAAAAAGTTGATATACTTGAAAAGTTTTTTTGTCATGCTTATAATAGCCAAAGTAGAACTCATCAAGAATATAGCTAAAGTTCATTGTGGCATTTTAATTTTTTTATTATTTATTTATTTATTTTGAGACAGAGTTTCTCTCTGTTGCCCAGGCCGGAGTGCAGTGGTGTGATCTCAGCTCACTGCAACCTCCACCTCCTAGGTTCAAGCAATTCTTCTGCCTCAGCCTCCTGAGTAACTGGGACCACAGGCATGCCATCACGCCCAACTGATTTTTGTATTTTTAGTAGAGATGTGGTTTCACCATGTTGGTCAGGCTGGTCTTGAACCCCTGACCTCAAGTGATCCACCTGCCTCAGCCTCCCAGAGTGTTAGGATTACAGGCGTGAGCCGCTGCACCTGACCAGCATTTTCAGATATAGGAACTTTGGCTACTTTTTTAAAAATATGGAATATATATTCTTTATAAGTAGAAAAGTATTTTAATGAATTCGTGATTGCCTTCTTCCCTGAAAAATTCTAAATGATCACTTAATCACATCTGAAATGTTACACTCTATGGGATAAGCATTGCAGCCAGTAGCATTGCTCTGAGCTGTTTGACAGGAACTGAGCCCCACCTTATTAAATTAGGACTCCAAGGGGAATTTTAATAGGCAGCATATAATTACCAGACTTAGAATTAGACCAAAGAGCTAAGGTTAGTACCCTGCTCTTTTGAAGTATACCCTGAGAAGTTTAGTAGCTGTTTGAGGATAATATCTTGAGTTTAAAAAAAACCTTTCAGCAATACTAGCACATCTTAACCTTGGGCCTAACTGCTTTGAAGAGAGACATGCCATCTACTGACCATTCCTTATAGCACTTGGGGTTTCTTGCAGAATTTTTGTGTTCTTAGGGCCTAACTTTGCTTAAAATTAAAAAAACCTTACTTAAGGTACAATGTTGGGACAACTTATTTTGTTGAAGTTGTTGGGAAATAAAATGATTATTAGCCATTTAGTTGACTTTGTTATGATACATTAAAAGATTTGTTGAAGTCTTCTTAAGTGCCAGACTTTGTTCCAGGTGCCCTGTTAATGCAAATCGTAATGGTCCCTGTTCCCTTAACGTTCACTAGCTTTATGAAGAAGACAAAATATACATATTTATATTGTGAGGCTGAATTAAGTACCTTTCCTCTTCTGTGTAGATTACCTGAAAGCCACAAAGAAAGAGTTTCTCTGAGAACTTGGTACTACCCACAATAAATAAAACATCTATATGCAGCTAAGGCACAGATCTTAAAGCACATGCGCTGACATTTTAGCAAACCTTTTTATCTTGTTTTCAAGTTCATAGAAGTTTGGAAGGAGCACATCAGGTGTAAATGTGTTTGTTCTGCAGATATGCTAGGGAGTTCATGGGATTACAATATCCTGATATTAAGGAAAAAGACCAGAAAGTGACAAAAGGCAGGCACAATTCAAAAATCATAGCCATCTTGGCCTTATTAATAAAATTAAGCAGACATATATTGGGACATAATCCATTTGTATCACTGTATGACATTACAGTTCAGTGTTAATAGTGGTAAAAGTTCCAGAATGTTTAGATTATGTCAGATAACAAAATATTTAAAATTTCACTTTTTCCTAGGCTCCTATAGTTGAGTTTCTTATGGCTATGATAAATGCCAGGAAGAACAAACTAACAAGTACCTTGGGGAATTATGGAATGAGAGATTGCTTTTGGTTGGTTTTATGTTTCCATAGCTTATTTCTGCCTAGGATTTGTACATAAATTTTGTCTATAATTTCATTCTGTATATGAAGTTTTTTTAGCTCACAATTGGGTGTATACAGTGTGACATTTGAGTAAATTATAGTCATCTGCATTTTAAATACAACTCTTAAGTGCTAAAAGGGGTCAGTACCAGTGAAGGATCATATGAAGATCAAAGTAGTACTTAATTTAGTTTTTACTTTGAGAACTTTTAAATGTGTCACTCACCCGCTTTTAAAATCTAGAACGAATGGATCTTCACTATTCCATGATCATTTTTGTGTCCTGTTTGTTCTGTTGCTTACTTCTTAAAAAGTGATGTTTTTTCTTTTTCTTTTTTTTTTTTTAATTTGAGTAGGAGTCTCACTCTGTCACACAGGCTGGAGTGCAGTGGCGCGATCTCGGCTCACTGCAAACTCCGTCTCCTGGGTTCACGCCATTCTCCTGCCTCAGCCTCCCGAGTAGCTGGGACTATAGGCGCCTGCCACCTCGCCTGGCTAATTTTTTGTGTTTTTAATAGAGACGGGGTTTCACTGTGTTAGCCAGGATGATCTCGATCTCCTGACCTCGTGATCCGCCCGCCTCGGCTTCCCAAAGTGCTGGGATTGCAGGCGTGAAAAAGTGCTTTTAAATCTTTTCCCTTTTTGTTTTTCCTTCCAGGTACTCCTAGTGGTTAACTTCATTTCTTGTTTTCCTATAGAAGTTAAAAATGTATAAATGTGAATTTTCTTATTTTCCTCTTCTCCATATTAGGGGATAGTAGTATTTATTTGTATTTTTAATTTCCTCTTCAATGAAGAGAGGTAGCCCCTCTCATTCTGTGCCTATAGTAATTTCTGATACTTCATCTAATTGTCCTTACTCATAGGTTGCTTCCCTCTATCTCTCAACCTTGAGTTTTTCTCTATCTTGAAGAAAACCTTTACTTTTTCTTGCTCTCTCTGTTATTTGCCTGTTTGTGTTTTCTTTTTCACCGCTGAGTTTTAAGAAAAAGTTTTCCGTACCTACTGCCTCTATTCTGTCACTATCTACTCTTCTAACTGCCTTGAAATCCAATTCCTAATATTATTTCTATATTCTTTTTTATTGAGGTAGAGTCTCGCTTTGTCACCTAGGCTGGAGTGCAGCAGTGCACTCTCAGCTCACTGCAACCTCTGCCTCCTGGGTTCAAGCGATTCTCCTGCCTCAGCCTCCTGAGTAGCTGGGACTACATGTGTGCACCACCATGCCTGGCTAATTTTATTTCTCTTTCTTTCTTTCTTTTGTATTTATTTATTTATTTATTTTACAAAGTCTTGCTCTGGTTGCCAAGGCTGGAGTGCAATGGCACCATCTCAGCTCTCTGCAACCTCCACCTCCCAGGTTCAAGCGATTCTCCTACCTCAACCTCCTGAGTAGCTGGGATTACAGGCGCCCGCCACCACGCCCAGCTAATTTTGTATTTTTAGTAGAGACCGGGTTTCTCCATGTTGCTTAGGCTGGTCTCAAACTCCCAACCTCAGGTGATCCGCCTGCCTCAGCCTCCCAAAGTGCTGAGATTACAGGCGTGAGCTACCGTACCCGGCCCTATATTCTTTAATGTCCGTGGTGACCTCCTAATTTCCACATCCGTTTGTCTTTTCTCAGTACCCATTTCCTTTGATTTCTCTGCACTATTATGAAAAATAATTGCAATGTTAAAGAAGCAGCTGTGTTGTAGTGAGCTGCACTGAGTAAACAAGAAGTCTAGTTCATGAAATAATTGAAAAACAAGATAAGCGATTTTATACAGAAAGGTCCTGAAAGAAATAGAGTCTGATCTGGGCCTAGAAGTGGGGAAAAGGTGAAGTGATTGTAAAGATGTTCCTGATGGCAAGAGGAATGGTTGTAGTGAAAGTTCACACTTTGAGGACACTGTTTGAAATAGAGCATTCATGAGTTGGATGCAAGAAAGTACTGGAATCAGATAGCAGTAAATTATAAGTGCTGTTCAAAGACATTTAACTTTTTATTCTATAGGCCACTATTTCCAAAGTGGGTGAAATATATTAAGTGGTACACGAACAATGTTTTTAATTTTAATCATTATGTATTCATGTTAATGGAAAGTAAAATATAGGTAGCACATCAAATCCAGGACTTAATGGCTATTGCTTATCCTAACTAAATGTATTTGAGTTTAAAAAAAAAAATGTTAAAAAAAAGATTTGCTAACAGTTATTGGTGGCTCATTATTTATCAGGCATTGTTAAAATGTTTTATATATATTAATACATATACCCTTTACATGAACCCAGTGAACTATTAAATACTGTTGTTTTATTCACCTGATATGTGAGACTATAAAGGCATAGAGAGGTTTTCATAGCTAATAAGTAGTGGATTCAAATCCAGGCAAACTGACTTCAGGACCTGTATTCTCAACTATCATACCTTAAGACAGAAGGCAAATGTGCAACTGCCACAAAAATTGTGAGAATGATAGGCAAATGGCTTGTTTGTGAAACTAAAGCTGTAGCATTAGGGAAAAAGAGCTGTTAAAGGTTTTTTGGAGTAATACTATAAACGTACTGTTTGATATGTAAATTGAAGTGATGGTAGTATTCGGAATGCATTTTGAGGGAGTGGAATTAAATTTAGGAACACCAATTAATAATTGACTATATAGGTCTAATTTGGAGAAAAGCATTTGAACCAGGGTTTTACATTTTAGGAGAAACGGAGAAAAAGGAGCTAGACTATAAGAGCCATTGTGCAGAGAAAGAATGGAAAGTAAGAACGGATTTGAATGTGGGCAGTTTGTGAAGAGTCAAAAAATAAGTGTTTGCAGAATGAGAGCATGGTGATAACATTAAAAGATAAAAAATCAAGAGAGGGATTCATCTGACAGATGAATTTCATAATAGAATTTTTGACAAGGAAGGTGAAAAATCTTAAAATGCTTAGAGGGTAGTTAGTGATAGGAAAAGCTTAGTGTGGTGGTTGGGGCTGACTGGGGATATACATTTAAAAGTTGTCTCCTTAGCATTGAGGGTTAGGTATCATGAGTAATAATGATATAGGCCTGGGGTCTGCAAACTTTTTCTTAAAGGAGCAGATGGTAAATATTTTAGGCTTTGGTGACTAAGAGGCAGAATTAAAGATAAACATGTGAAACCCATTTTTAGCTCACAGACCATTAAAAAACAGACAGCAGAGCCAGATTTGAACCTAAGCCTGTAGTAGTTTGCCAATCCATAACTTTCCCAAAAAATCCATAATTTTGCCAATCCAGTAGGCTTGTTGATTATTGATCATAGACTTTCCTCTTGTATTGAAGTTTAGAGATACTCCATGAGTTATTTGATTAATATGGAAAAGTGAGGGCTTTTTTACGTTACCTCTTTGGACAGGATCATATTCTGAGTGAAATTTGTTTTTTTTTAAATGAGCTTCTCTTTTATGTATGTTAGGAATTGCCACAAATTTATGTAGAAATCTTGCCCTAATTGTTAAAGACATATTACAATAGGAGTTGGTAATTTAGCTTTGAATTTTATAAGGTTCTTAGTCAAGGAAACTTAGCTGAATAAGCTCCTTTAAAACAAATTTCTGTGTTGGATTTTTACACTTACATAAGTCTAGAAATTGTTTATATTAGATTATTCTTTGGGTCACAGAAAATTGTACAGAATACAAGGAACTTTGGCTTAGACCCAGCTGAAAGAACACCTTTTAGTTGCTATGCCTAGGTTTTATAGCTTTCCTTTTCCGGGATGTTAGTGCCCTGCCATCCATTGTTTACTGGAAATTGGCAATTGATTTTATATTTTTGCTTCTATTAAACTTCTCAGAGCTTAGATTAGTGCTACTGTTTGTTAATAGCATCTTGATCTTTTGAGTGCATCTGTTAATAAAAGAAATCACTAACTGCATATTAATGACATAATAATCATTTTAAAATATAATTTTCCTGCCAATTATCACTTCCTTTCAAAAATGTAAACTAAAATTGTTATTTTTGATTTTCCAAGTCAAGTGAACATAGAGAAATCTTTGAGGAGATTCTTAACCAGAATGGTTGATATGGTTGGAGGGGGCATTTAAGACTTACTTTCAACACTAATAAGTAATATTTTAGCCTTTGGTAGTTATAAGATGACTAATTCTTTAAAAGCTAAGAGTAGTTAAATGTAACCAAGTTGACTAAAGCTAAATGTAAAAAAGTAATTTTCTGTGCTTTTTTTTTTTTTTTTTTTTGAGAGGGAGTTTCACTTCTATTGCCCAGGCTGGAGTACGATGACGCAATCTCGGCTTATCGCAACCTCCACCTCCCGAGTTCAAGTGGTTCTTCTGCCTCAGCCTCCCGAGTAGCTGGGATTACAGGCATGCACCACCACGCCCGGCTAATTTTGTATTTTTAGTAGAGACGGGGTTTCTCTATGTTGGTCAGGCTGCTCTCGAACTCCCGACCTCAGGTGATCCGCCCACCTCAGCCTCCCAAAGTGCTGGGATTATAGGCATGAGCCACCATGCCCGGCCTGAACTGAAACTTACTTCGTATTCACGGTCCTACCTAAGGACAGTAAAGTTTTGCCAGTACTGCTTTTTATGCATTTGAATGTCACTTCTTTAAAAGTTCTTTGGGAAAAAGGAAGAAAAAAGACAGTTAACTTTTTATTACATGGTAATAGTAGAAATTTATTCATAGAAAATATGTCATTAGTTGTCACTATATAATTTGAAAGTTGTTACAGTCATATTAGATATGCAGTAAGTCTACTTACATTTATTCCAGGTAGCATTTAAGATTACCAAATTGTACTTAAAAGTTTATTTAGAAATATGTCTAAAATATGACAAGCCCCTATCTAGGTACCATGGATGTAGTGAAAGAAAAAGTAAAGTGATATGTTCCATAACTTGCCATGTGCCATATTCTTTTCAAAGAGTCATACTCTGCTGCATGCATTTATTTGTTTAATAGTCTAAAGATTGAATTAACACCTAACCGAAGCATGTGTGGCATCAGCAGTCCACTCTATACCGTGATGTCTGGTGTGTTAGTTCATCCATGCATTGCTATAAACAAACACCTGAGACTGGGTAATTTATAAAGAAAAGAGGTTTAATTGGCTCACAGTTCAGCAGGCTGTACAGGAAGCATAGTGGCTTCTGCTTCTAGGGGGGCCTCAGGAATCTTCCAATCATGGTGGAAGGCAGAGGGGGAACAAGACTTCTCACTTGGCAGGAGCAGGTGCAAGAACGAGTGAGTGGGGAGGTGCCACACACTTTTAAACAACCAGATCTGGTGAAAACTCAGTCACTATTGCAAGAACAGTACCAAGGGGATAACGCTAAACTCTTCATGAAGGATCCACCCCCATGATCCAGTAACCTCCCACCAGGCCCCATCTCCAACATTTCAGATTACAGTTCAACATGAGATTTGGTGGGAACACAGATCCAAACCGTATCATGTAGTTAACACCCCAAATGATAAAAATAACTGAACACATAATGAGAGTTTATTTCTCTTCTGATTTACAGTTCTGAATGCAGTGATGGAGAATGGTCTGCTTCTTTGCCTCATCGATTTTCTGGTACAGAAAAAGATCAATCCTCAAGTGATGAAAGCTGGGAGACTCTGCCAGGAAAAGATGAGAATGAACCTGAGCTACAGAGTGATAGCAGTGGCCCTGAAGAAGAAAACCAAGAATTATCTCTTCAGGAAGGGTATGTTGAGAACAGTGAGATTTATTTTTCTGTATATTGTACAAGAGTGGTATATATCACATTCAAATGTTGGATATGCCGTTAATTGTATTTATAAGCCTTATGTAGAACCAATAGGACCCCCTGATTTTTTCATTATGCTTTTGGTATTTTAAAAAGAACAATTAAGTTGAAAACACTGATAATTTCAGTATCCTATTGAGACACAATGTATGTCTCCACTTTGCTTTAATAAGAAAAGTTGGGCACCTAAAATGTCATTTTGGTTAAGATAGGAATGGGTAAATTAGTACTGTCATTGCTTAAGGGAGAAAGGACAGCCTCAAGAGGGAAATCAGTGATTCATTCACAGAAATGGAGAAAGTTAGTTGCAAAAGCTAGTGTTCATAATCTTGTCTAATTGCATTGTATGATCTCTCCAAAATATCAGTGATTGATGATTAACATTTTTGTTCTTTCCTCATTTTAATGAGAAAGCTCTAGTACTGTAAGGGTTGTCAAACATACTATGAAGGACTAGATAATAAATATTCATGGCTTTGTGTCCAGTCTGTGTTGCAGCTACTCACCTCTACTGTTGCAGTATAAAAGTAGCCATAGACAAGATGTAAATGAATGGTTGTAGCTGTCTTCCAACCTTTTATTATTTTATGGGTTTCTAGCAAGAATGTTTGTTGAATTTTATTAAAGTCTTTTTAGCATCAGTGGAAATGATCATGCTGATTTTTCACTTTTGCCCTGATCATGAGGAATTATTCTATAATTAGATTTGCTAATATTCAACTTCCCTTGCTCCTTGAAATAAACCAAATCTGATCACAGTCATGGTTTATTGTTATTTTAATGGGCTGCTGGATTCTAGTATTTTACATGGGATTTTTATATTGAGATTCCTAGATGCAAATTGTCTTTTAGTTTTTTGTTTCAGTATCAGTTTGGTACTTGCTTTGCTAAAAGAATGTTTATGCTTTTGTTTTTCTTTTTCTGTCCTTTGCATCTGTTGCTCAGTTTATTTATTCCTTTAAAGTTTGTTAGTATTCACTTGTGAAACCATCTAGGCCTCTTGTTTTATTGTAGGAGAATATCTTTTTGATGATAATTTTTTTCTATGATAATTGGTTCTAATTCTTAGTCTCTCATGGGAACTATTTTGGTAAATTATGTTTTTTTGTTTTTTTTTTTAGGAAAAGAACTTTTTCAGTCTAGACTAATAGTAAAACTTGTACTTCTCGAAGCATATACATTTTCAGCTTGAGATTAATCCTATAAGAAAATCTAGAAATAAAATATATAGAAAAATCTATAAAGAGAAATTCACAAACATAATTGGTTTTGACAGTGGTAGGTTGAGGTGGCACTTTTTTCTCTTCATGAGATATATACACACACACACTCATACACACACATATATATATATAGAGAGAGAGAGAGGGTGTGTCTTGCTCTCTGTTGCCCAGGCTGTAGTGCAGTGGTACGATCTCGGCTCACTGCAATCTCCATCTCCCAGGTTCAGGTGATTCTCCTGCCTCAGCCTCCTGAGTAGCTGGGACTACAGGTACCCACCATCATGCCTGGCTAATTTTTGTATTTTTAGTAGAGACAGTGTTTCACCATGTTGGCCAGGCTGGTCTTGAACTCCTGACCTCAGATGATCTGCCTGCCTTGGCCTCCCAAAGGGCTGGGATTACAGGCATGAGCCACCACGCCTGGCCTCATGATTTTATATTTGATTGCCTTTAATCACTGTTAGTTTAGTTTACTAAGTATAAATTATCCATATGACATTTGTGTTAGTAATTATTCACTCAGCAAATATTTATTGAGCATTTACTTTGTGCCAGGCATTGTGTTGGATATTGGAGTTGTGTATCAGTAAACAAGACAAATAACATTCCTTCATGAAGCTTACATTGTAGTAGGAAAGGCAGATGATAACCAAGATACAAACCCAGTACATTACACACTGTGATGATTACCGTGAAGGGAATAAAACAGTAATGTAAAAGAAGGTAAATAATGAAGATATTAATTAGAGTGGTCAGGGACGATGTCTCTTTGGAATTGACTTTTGAGCTGAGTTCTTAAAGATGAGAATTAGGGTTCAGAAAGAACTTTCTATGCAAAAGAAAAAGCAAGAGCAGAGATATTGAATGTTGGTAATTTAAGAAGCCCAGTTTTTCAAAATTAGTCTTTTACGTTATTATAGTGCCAAATTATGGCTTTACTCACACATTTTTCATCCTTAGACTTGCTCTTAGAGCTGGCAACCTTGTTTTGATGAATCTATGATTACATATTTATTTTTTCTAACCTAGATTTTATTTAAAGCCATTATAACCAGCTTCCTTTTTGAACTTCTAAATATCTTCTATACACATAAAAGCATATATGTGTACACATTCCATTTCATTTTTTTTATACAACCAGTAGCACATTGTGTAGACATATGTGTACACCTTGCTTTTGTTATTTGTTTTGTTTATAGATCTATTTTTTATTTAGATTGTTTCATATTCATGCATGTAGATTTCCTTTATTCTTTTTAAAAATCTGCATAGTACTACCTTGTTTTGCTTAAAGTCACAGTTTCTAAGAAGCTGTCTATAAAGTTAAGTGAGGACTTACTGTATAATGCTAAATGGGTATACCAGTTTCATTTGGTGGACAGTTTTGGTTATTGTAAGTAATGCTGAAGAGAAAAAAAAACACATTGTGCATACTTGTTTAGGAGAAATAACTGGAAGCCAGACCACTAGGTCAGTGAGTATGCATAAACCTAATCTATAGCTATTGCCAGGTTTCCCTACAAAGAACTTAAATTTGTCACTTTCTTACCAACACTCTATAGGTTGCCTTTCTTCAAAATTTCACCAACACACAGGATATTATCAGAATTTTTTATTTTTGCTAATAGTTGAAACATAGTTGTTTTAATTTGCATTTTGCTTATTATAAATGAGGCAGAGCTTCTCTTTATATATTTAAGGGCTATTTGAATTTCCTTTTCTGCCAACCAGATATAACCTTTGCCTCCTTTCTGTTGATATATATTGATGTTTTTCTTATGGTTTGTTTTTACATTTTAAGTTTCTATTTATTAAGGAAAAGCCCTTTGTCTCTCTTGTATTATAGTTCACTTTTCTCAATTTGAATTTTGTGTCCAAATTTTGGGCGTTTTGACTTTTCTGTGAGTATTTTCTTTAATGTGAATGTTGTAGAATTTATCAGTCTGTTTGTGACTTCAGGGTTTTATATCATACTTAGAATGACACTGAAATTTTTGTAAAATTTTCTCTCATGACTCTTCTGGTACTCATTGTTTAAGTGAGGGTGGGGGTGCATATGCACATGTACTTCAAAAAAGTATAGCTAAAGTTTATTTAAGGGATTTAACCTCCCTCCCTACAGCCTAATACGCAGTTGTCCCAATACATTTTGTTGTTGAGTCCTTTTTTGTTTTTTGAGACAGAGTCTGTCTCTGTTGCCCAGGCTGGAGTGCAGTGGTGTCATCTCAGCTCACTGCAACTTCTGCCTTCTGAGTTCAAGTGATTCTCATGCCTCAGCTTCCTGAGTAGCTGAAATTAGGCATTCACCCAGCTAATTTTTTGTACTTTTAGTAGAGACAGCATTTCACTATGTTGTCCAGGCTGGTCTCAAACTCCTGGCCTCAAGTGATCTGTCTGCCTCGGGACTCCCAAAGTGCTGGGATTATAGGGGTGAGCCACTGCACCTAGCCTAAGGAGTCCTTTTTTTTTCTTCCTGTTTTGAAATGCTTCCTTTATCTCCTCCTTATTTTCTTGATCTGTACCATTGATTTGTGTGTCTCTGTTCCTGTTTAGTTAGTTTCTATTAGGAGTAGACTGACAGTAAACAAATAAGAAAATGTTAAGCAAAAATAGATTTTATAATTTAAATAAGCAGAGTTATGTGGTAGTCAGTAACTGGAGAGCTATTTAAACTGAATGTTCAAGACAGGCCTCCCTGAGCAGGTGACTTATAATCTGACATGAACATCAAAAAGAAAGTAGCAAGGTAAACATTCAGTGCAAGAACATTTTAGGTAGAGCAAATGGCCCCAAGGTAGAAATGATCTCCATGTGTTGCAAAAGTAGAAAGAACAGTAGGAGCCTAGTAGCTGGGGGAAGAGTGATGAGAGATGCTGTTGGAGAAGTGGGCTGAACAGAAAGAATGTGTTATGCAAGGATTTGAAGGCCAGGTTAAGGAATTCAGATTTTAACTGTGAAGGGAAAGTACTCAAGAGCAGTGTTTTAAAATTCAAATAGTCAGGGATGGATTTTTCTTATGTTTCTCCTACAGAAGGAGAAAACAGAGCATAGATAATTTGTAAATCAAATAAATATGTTCCTATGTAATTAGAAACTATTTCTGTATACATATGACCCTATAACTAATTTCTTTCCTTTTTTACATAATTCTGCAGTTAAGGAAGACAGTTTTTTAGGTTTATAAAAGTACCAAGAGCTTAGAACTCAACATAATCCACTTGCATGGAATAGAATTAAAGACAGTGTTACGGTATGTTTTAAAATAATATTTTTTTCTTTCTTTAAAATGTTTGTACTAGGGAACAGACATCCTTGGAAGAGGGAGAAATTCCTTGGTTACAGTACAATGAAGTCAATGAAAGCAGCAGTGATGAGGGAAATGAACCTGCCAATGAATTTGCACAGCCAGCTTTCATGTTGGATGGTAACAATAACCTGGAGGATGACTCCAGTGTGAGTGAAGACTTAGATGTGGATTGGAGGTATGTAGCATGATTTTATTAGGATGCTTAATTAGACTCTTTGAGTAGAATGAGGTCATGATTCTAAATTATGAAAATTAAATCTCTGCTAGCTAAGAAATATTCTAATTTTTCCCATCTGTTAGTTCTCCTCTTCTTCAAAGCTCATTTCAAATGTTCCTTCCTACTCAGACCCTTTCTTGCTTCCTCCAGTCAGTGACCTCTTTCTTTGACCTTTAGCTCTCTTGAAGCTCACCTTATATCCTAGTTACTTATACACATTTTTTGAGTTTTAGATTTCTGACTTTTAAAATTTTGCTTTATATGCCCTGTAGTACTTAGCGTGATTCTTTCAAAAATAGCTTCTTAATGAATACCACTTGAATTTTAAAACCTGTGGTTGAATCAGAAAACCGTAAGAATAGTTTTCCTTCCCTGTTCTTCCTTTTCCTTCTCTGTGTGTAAAATATGGAAGGTAAAATTTTACTTTCCAAGAGATGTTGAAAGCATTTAATTTACTTTATGCTTGACAAAGAATAGTCAGCTTCAAATGAAAGTAACATATAAGTGAATTGTATTGTGAAATTGTTACTACTTATGATACAATGCTCAGAATTTAACTGTTTTGGTTTATAGTGTCTTTCAAGTGTGTAGTAGCCCACTGGAAGCAGGTAACTATTGAGATGCAGAAAGGTGTCCTAACTGATCCCCCTTTTTTTTTTTACTTTTTCTGGGGCAAAAAAGATATCTTGATGTACTCACCCTTGTTTCTTTCTCTGTACAAATACATTTTTAAGAATTTGTGTTGTTTTTCCAGTTAAAATTCCTTTACAGAAAATTCAGAAAAATAAATAAGAAAAACCTCATGTATATCTCCTGAATCTCTTCAGGTTTCCGGAACATATGTTTTAAGCCCTCTTTTGTGTCTTTAATTTCTCTGTGTGTGCTAGCTACTTCTCTGTACTTCTCCAGATTGTTCTAGAAGGGAAACTGAACATCTTGAGATCTTCCTTGCCCTTTCCTATTCTTACTTCCCAAGGGGGGGAGAAATGTGTGGAGAACAGACTTTTATTACCATTTTGGGGAAGTAGAAATGGTATTTCATTACAGCCATGCAGTTTGTAATTCTACCTTAAACATTCTCATACTTTAAAACACATTTTCTGGCTTCCCATACGTTATGAAGAATAAGCGGCTTTACCTAGTCCCAGTCTTGCTGATCTTGATGCTTCTCTCTTTTCCTTCCTCTCTCTGTCTCCCCATTACCTTTTTACTGCACTCCTTGTTAATTCGGAAGTCTTCTGTCTCCATTATGCAAAGTAATTCCTCAGAGTGTTCAGCAATTGAAAGAATCATCTGTTTAGCATCATCTGTGCATGTTGGGAGGCAATTATGGTTTCATATGAAGGAATTTTTTCTGTTGCACATTTTCAAGACTCTAAAAATAATTTTTTACAGCTCTGTTACGAAGATGCTCCTTCCTATAGGGGCACTAAGATTTAACGGATTTTTGACTCATTGAAATAGTGCAGTGAACTTTTTCTTCCCCATCCTACATAAAACTTTTTCTATACTTCTGGTTTTTCCTTTAGGACAAATAATTGGAGGTGACATTACTAAGATACGTAATATTTTTCAGGGTATGGATACATATTTCCAAATAACTTCCAAAAAGGTTGTTTTACCTAAAAATTTGGAAGGAATAATGGAAGTTTTTACTGAATATAATTTGTTTGCTTGAGATGGAGTCTCGTTCTGTTGCCCCGGAGTGCAGTGGTGTGATCTCGGCTCACTGCAGCCTCCGCCTCTCAGGTTCAAGTGATTTTCTTGCCCCAGCCTCCCAAGTAGCTGGAATTACAGGCGCCTGCCACCACATCCAGCTAATTTTTATATTTTCAGTACAGACAGGGTTTCACAATGTTGCCCAGGCTGGTCTCAAACTCCTGACCTCAAGTGATCTGCCCTCCTTGGCCGCCCAAAGTGCTGGGATTACAGGTGTGAGCCACCGTGCCCAGCCTCTGAATATAATTTGAACCAAAATTTGAGAAACTATTACTTTAAGTTCTAGTTCACTGATGATCTTTCTAGATATGGCTGTTGTGTTAAGGTTTTAGAAACCTTACTAATGGTCTACAACTGTACAGAGCTTCAAAGTAGTTTTTTTTTTTTTTTAATTATGGAAACATTTTAGCATTAATTTTAAGACACAAATTTTGAAGGTTGCTCTATGTCCGCACCTCATTATTTGCTTATATGGTACTACATTAATTTATGTGGCAATGTCTAAAGGTTGATAAAATGAAAATGTGGTTTCATTTCTATATTAAAATAGCATGCTATGGGTAAAGCCATGGCAAAGAGCAGCAGTTCTTGTCTCTGAGGTCAAACTTTGGCACACGTTTTTTCATTTCACCACTGCTTAGGAAAAAAGTGAAGCCTTTTGGTTCGTTAATTTAGTTCAAAGGAAAATGGAAAAAGTCCTCTATCAAGTTTATTTACTTGTTTTCGTTAGTTGCATTAGTTACAAGTTGCATTAGTGTTCAGAATACTAAAGAGTACCTGATAGCTTGGTGTGGTAGGAAGTGACACAGAGAAATCATCGTTTTAGATACTGACAAATCCCAACTCTACCGTTTGTTTTTTGTTTGACAACTCCTTAACTTCTCTGTCTTCCTATAAGAAATTGAGTTCTTATTAACCTAATAAGATTGTGAGAAGTTAATTCTGTGTGGATATAACTGTGGCTTAATAGAATTTTTAAATAATTTGATATAATTTTAGACTTACAGAAAAGTGACAAAAATAGTGCAAAAATCCTCATATATCCTTCACCAAGATTTCCTAAATGCTAACATTTTAAAACCACGTTTGTGTTACCATTCTGTCTTTCCTTTCTTTATACTTATAGTAAGGTTTTTTTCTGACCCACTTATGAGTAAGTTGCAGGCATGATGTTCCTTTCTTTACTTGTAAATATTCTAGAATGAATTTCCAAATCCAAGACTACTTTCTTACATAACACAGTAAAATTGTCAAAGTCAGCAAATTAATGCTGATACAATATCATCTAATCTACAGACCTTATTTAGATGTTCGTAGTTGTTCCACCAGTGCCGTTAGAGAAATTTTTTTCTGGTCTAATCTTTGTATTAGATTTTTCATTGTATTTAGTTAACGAGTCTCTTTTAATGTGGACATTTCCTTAGTCTTTGTTTTTCGTTACCCTGAGATTTCGGCAACTAGGAGTTGCCGAAGCTATTTCATATGTGGATCCTCAGTTCCTTACCTACATGGCACTAGAAGAACGGTACAGGTCATTTATTTTTTAGAATGTCCCTTAGGGTGTATTTGTCTGTCATGAATAGATTTGAGTTGTGAATTTTTAGCAGAAACACCCTAGAAATGATGTTTTGTCCTTTGCAGTACATATCAGAAAATACATGGTGTCAAATCAACCCATTACTGGTGATATAAAATCTGATTTGGTTATGATGTTATCTTTCAGATTTCTTTACAGTTGTCATTTATCCTTTTATACAGCTGACCCTTGAACAACACAGGGGTTAGGGGTGCTGATCCCTGTGCACTAGAAAATCCAAGCATAACTTTTGACTCTTCAGAAGGTTAACTACTGATAGTCCACTGTTGACCAGAAGCCTTATGATAAAGTAAACAGTTGATTGCCACATATTTTGTATGTGATATGTATTACATACTGTATTCTTACAATAAAGCAAGCTAGAGAAAAGAAAATGTTAAGAAAATCATAAAAAGAGAACATATATTTATTCTTCATTAAGTGGAAGTAGGTCATCATAAAGGTCTTCATCCTTGCTGTCTTCATGTTGAGTAGTATGCTGAAGAGGAAGAGGGGGAATTGGTCTTGTTATCTCAGAGGTGGCAGGGTGTAAAAAAAACTGAGGTTAAGGGTACCCACCTACGCAGCTCAAGCCCCTGTTGTTTAGGGGTCAACTGTAGTCAACAGGCTTCTAGCGTGAAGATACTTTGAGACTGTAAATAACATGTTTCTTCTTAAACTGTCAAACTTCCATCCACTAGTTTTAGCACCTATTAGTGGTTCTTGTCTGAAACAATTTTTTTGTTTTTTCGTTTTTTGTTTTATGTTTTTTTTTCAGACAGGGTCCCATTCTGTCACTCAGGCTGGAGTGCAGTGGTGCAAACTTGACTCACTGCAACCTCTGCTTCCCAGGCTCAAGTGATTCTCCAGCCTCAGCCTCACGTGTAGCTGGTACTACAGGCATGAGCTACCAATGCCTGGCTAATATTTGTATTTTTTTGTAGATACGGGCTTTCGCCATGTTGCCCAGGCTGGTCTTGAACTTCTGAGCTCAAAGGCCCACCTTGGCCTCCCAAAATGCTGGGATTACAGCCACCACACCCGGCCTGAAACAGTTATTACCATGGTGACTGCCAAGTACATGATCTTAGAATTTTTAACTGATTATTTGTAGTGGGCCAAATTACAACTGGATATTATGCTTTGAGTGTCTAGATTTGCTTAGCCTGGAGAAGAAAAGAATTATTGGGAGATAGTTGTCTTCAGTCGTTTGAAGGGTCGTTTTGCAAAGAGAAGGAAGACACAATTTATGTTGTTTCAGCAGGCAGAATTACAGCAACAGAGCAAAAGTTACAAGTAGGAATACTTAATATGTTTTAAATTCCTAGTAGTGCTATCCCGCACTGGTACATACCACCTTAGAAAGCAGTGTATTTTCTGCATGGAAGGAATGTTTATTCTGTTTCTTGAATGTCTACTATGGTACCATCCCTGTGCCAGGCACCTTTGCACACCTACTATGTCTTACTGACTTCAGGGCTCTTTCTCTTTGTATTACATCTTACTGCTAGATGAGGGAGTTTCAGTATTTCAAGGGTGGGTGGATTCAGTAATTCTTAATATTAATTCCAAAATCTGCGATTATATGAGCATGTCTGTTGCTTTGTATTGTGTGATACTTGATTTCCAGATACTGCTAAACTATAACATATTCTTTTTAAGAACCATTTTTGGCCGGGCGCGGTGGCTCAAGCCTGTAATCCCAGCACTTTGGGAGGCCGAGGCGGGTGGATCACGAGGTCAGGAGATCGAGACTATCCTGGCTAAGATGGTGAAACCCCGTCTCTACTAAAAATACAAAAAAACTAGCCGGGCGTGGTGGCGGGCGCCTGTTGTCTCAGCTACTTGGGAGGCTGAGGCGGGAGAATGGCGTGAACCCGGGAGACGAAGCTTGCAGTGAGCCGAGATCACGCCACTGCACTCCAGCCTGGGAGCACAGTGAGACTCCGTCTAAAAAAAAAAAAAAAAAAAAAAAAAAGAACCATTTTTGTGTCTCTCGGCAATAGATGGGTAATTTTAATTATGGTACATGGGTTGACATCAAAATGATTTTTGAGCTAGGTTGTTTGTGGATGTTTAGGACTATGATATTCAAATATGATAGGATATGAAAGTCAACAAGTTTGTCTTTAGACAAAATAAGCTCAGTTTAGGATCTCTTGTACTTAAGAGGTGGTAGGAATACATCTACTCAAAGTGCCCCACAGACAACTAGAAATGTAGGTCAGGAGCTTCAGGGGAGTTTAGGAATTAGGTAGAGATTTAGGAATTACCTGCAGAGAGGATAATTGAAGAAAATGGGCTTGAATATATTAATAGTTTCCAAGGGAGCAAGATTAGAGAGAAGAGGACCAAGGACATGCTTACAGTTTTCAAATTTTGAAATACTTAGTATTTCCAAGACTAGAGGAAAGGGAGGAATCTCGATGTGTTCAGGGGTGGAGGAAAGAGAATAGGACCAAAGTGAGACATGTTTTCCTTCTAGGAGCTTAACGGTTTTTAAGAGAAAATTATAATAAAAATGAGCAGTTAGGAGCTAGATATTTTTCAAGCTGTATAGTAATGGAGGTGGCCTAATCTTAGAAGAGGAGATGATAGATTAATGAGAAAGGCTTGAAATAATAAAATATTTTAAAATCTAGAATTATTCAGCATTACAAAATGAGAAAAGAAAAAAGAGGCCATGAGTAATGATAGAATTAAAAAATATATAGTTATTTTCTTTGTCATACTCTCATCTACATGCAAATTGGAAACTGAAAAACAGAAGAAATGTGTGGGAAATAATCAGGTGGGGAAATGTACTATATCCCTCAACTGAAATGCTTGGTACCAGAAGTGTTTGGGATTTGAGATTTTTTTCCTAGATTTTGGAATATTTGCATATACTTCCAGTTGAGCATCCCAGATTTGAAAATTCAAAATCTAAAATGGTTCAAAATCTGAAACTTTTTGAGTGCCAGTATGACATACAAAGGAAATACTCATAGGCACATTTTGGGTTTCAGATTTTCAGATTTGGGATGCTCAACCGGTACCTTTAAGCAGTCTCTAGAGTTGGAGCCAGAAACACAAAAGAGAATTTTTCTATAAACTTTGTGCATTGAGTTTGGCAGCCTGTTGGATGAGGTAGTAGTATCTTAACTACTTATCTTCAGCACCTCACTATTCTGTTGGGTTCCTCCTGCCCCTAATCCTACAAGTTGGTATTAAAATATTTTAAGGTTTTCTGTTCACAGAATGCTTATCGGCTTGTCAGTATGCTAATACAATTATGTCCTCAGCATAACATTTCCCAAATCATAGTGGTGAGTTTTGTTTTTCTGGTTTTTTTTCTTTCTTTTTTTTTTTTTCAGCCTATTTGATGGCTTTGCAGATGGACTAGGAGTTGCCGAAGCTATTTCATATGTGGATCCTCAGTTCCTTACCTACATGGCATTAGAAGAACGCTTAGCCCAGGCTATGGAGGTATGTTCATAACTCTAATGTCCATATATAAGTTGATGGGATGCAAAATGATAAAGGTTTAAAGGGATTTTGAGACTATTCTTAAGAAAAGGTGAATCTTTTTCCCATCAGTTTAGTAACAGTTATTGAATAATAATTGTCACCAGTATGTGTATACATATTATACTTGGTGTCCTGCTAGTTTGCCTTAAATTTCAGTATTTCTCAGTTTTTATTGCAGGATGGAAAATGTTTTGCTTACATTTAGAAAATAATACCTTTTTCTCTATCGAATTATACAAGTACGAGAGTGAATATCTTATATACACATGCACAGGTGTATTTGTGAAATGCAGTTGAAGCTAAGGATATATTACAAATCTCTTTTTTTCTCATGGCTTCTAAATACTCTCCGGCTGCCTAATGCAGTTAGGAAATTTGCTGCTCCTTATCCCAACAAACATATACACACTTCAATAAATGGGGCATATTTGCTGCCTAAGTTTCTCTTGCCTTCTTTTCATTATTTAACTAAAACAGAAAAACTTGTTCTTAAATGTTATTTGCCTAAGTTCAAAGCCCAAGTATTTTCGTGTTTGGGAACTACTACTGTACCAGTGGATTTCATTAAAAGAAATCTTTCTTTAAATCACTATTTCCAAAGTGATTTCCAAAATATAGGTACAGAAATGACTGGTGAATGAGCCACAGGTGAGAGGACAAAAAACTTGGTAAGAACTTTTAGAGGCATTATAATATATTTTGTCTTTAAATTTTCCGAGATTAGAAAGTCCAGTTTATGTATTTATTTATTTTTGAGACAAGATCTCACTCTGTCGCCCAAGCTGGAGTGCAGTGGTACAGTCATAGCTTACTACAGCCCTGAACTGCTGGGCTCAAGCGATCAGCTCACCTTAGCCTGTCCCAAGTAGCGGGGACTACAGATACGGGCCATCAGATCTGGTTTGGGTTTTTTCTGTTTTTTTTTTTTTTGGTAGAGATAGGGTCTTGCTATGTTACTACCCAGGCTGCTCTCAAACCCCTGCCCTGAAGCAATCCTCCCACTTTGGCCTCCCATAGCACTGGGATTATAGACATGAGTCACCATGCCCAGCCAGAAAGTCTACTTTAGATTGACAAATTAGGTAGCAGGTACCTATCTAATATTGATATATTTAATAATATATTTATATATCTAATATATTACCTCTCTAGTATATATTAGATGTATTATATCTCTATTAGATATATTTGTCTTTAAATTACCTCTAATTTGTAATATATATTATATACTATATGTACTATATATTACACATATTATATATAGCTATATATAACATATCTAGTGTATATAGTATATACTATATATAATACCTAGTATATATTAGCTATATATAACATATATAACATATAACAGTATATATTAGCTATATATAACTATGTAATACATAGTATATACATTAGCTATAAGACATCTGTAATATCTATAGATATTAGATACATACATCTATAGATATTAGATACCTGTCCATTTGCACACACACATGCAGGCATGCATGCATATACATGTTCACATACATTTATGCTAGCTCTGCTTTGTCATCACTTTTTTTACATATGTAATTGTCCATGGAGATTGCTTTCAGTTATGCTTTACAATGAATAATTTTTCTCAAAGTAACCATAGCAGAAATACTCTATACTAGGAAAAAAGTCAGAAAGAACATCATGAGATAGGATACACTTAGGATTTTTGCCGAATTATTTAACCTGCCTTGGCAAATTCTGACACATAAGAAATAATGGTATAACATGGTAACTTGCATCAGAAATATATAAAAATTAAGGATCACTCATTTCCTTGTGCTAGGTCTGTTCTAGGATCTGATTTCACAACATTTAGTCTTTCATTTTATGCTAATGGTTTATGATTTCCTATAATACGGAGATAACTTTAAAAAGAAGTGTTGAGAATGAAATGTTTTATTATTTATTACTAGTGGGGAATGTGACATTTGGCATCTGGAAAGAAGAGCCAGAGAGACTGGTCTTGAGAGGTCATGCTAGGTAAAGGCACTAGCGGTGAACTAAGACAAGAGGCAAGTAAGAGCTTACAGTCTCACGTTGTTGGCTTCTACCAGTAATGAACCCAGTGGCATTATTCCTACCAGTCTATACTTATGCCTCTGTTTAATGGCTTTAAGCATCTCTCTTCTCTAAGGCTTATCAGCTTCTTCACAGTTTAGTGCTCTGATTTAATTTATTTGAATTTGATTGAAATGTTTCACTCCTAGAAAATCAGTACAGTTTTCTTCCTGTCACTCTCCAGAAATCTTATTTTTCTATGTTCAGTATGCATTTATTTAATCATTTTTTAAAATGAAACAAAAATAATCTATGATTATTTCTTTTATATTTAACACTAACTCTTTAAATGAAACAAAAACAAAACAAACTGTTTTTGTTTGTTTCTCAAGCAGCCCTATAAGTTTTTGGAAGTGGTTGCTTTCATTTCTGGTATTTTTCCAATACTAGATTGATCGTTCTTTTCAGGTAGTGGCTTTTGGTGAAAATACTGGCAGTATGTCTTTGTCTCCCTATATCTGTGTCTCTAATTTGAGTGAGGAGAGGATAAAACATTAAACATCTTTAACTTTTTGAAACTTTTCTACTTCTCAAAATGGATTTTGAAAAAATCCCCTTGCACGTTTATGTTGACATCTAAAATTTTTCAGCATAAATCTAAGTAGTATTATTTACTTTATCGTACTTCTTCCCTAGAAAAATGTTTAAAATTTTTAATGTAAAAAGTGGCTAAATTGAGTTACAATTAATAGTATCCAAATGATCAAAAATAAATTATGAATTTTGATAAGTATTTTGTAGGAAATGCATCTAATGAGATGGAGGCATTTTCCTTTCCCAGTTATGAGTGAATTTTATTTATTACTGAAATGAGAAACATTTCAGCATAAGTTTTACTTTTGATTTTCATCTTATGAATGTAAGGTTGAAAAATGTTGTTCACCTAAATAAATTAACAGGAATGGAAGGAGTTTATTATGGCATTGTCACTGAATTCTTTTGAGGTATTTACCCAGAATCACATCAATTTAAGTTGTTTAGATATTCCTTAGATTCGTTCAGTTTTGTTTGTTTGTTTGTTTGTTTGTTTGAGCAAGGGATTGGAAGTCACCCAAAAGATTTGTTAGTTAGTCATTAGAGTTCAGTTCTACCTCCATACTTCAGATTGTCCCCCTGAATGGGTAAGAAGTGTGCTTTTATTTATAAAAGTGGAAGAAAGGTAAGTATAAACAGAATGTTAGAACAGAGAACCAGCATGATATACTGCAGGTACATTCTTATGTGGATCATTTTGAAGAAAGATTACCTATGAAAGCTTATTGAAACTGATCATCTTAAGACTGTCCATACCCACGGGCCCCTTGTAAAGTCTCTACATACAATAGCACCTATATATACCCAGGCATAGGCACTCGGAAGGCAGTAATGTGGAGGTTAAGAAGATGGGCTTTTGTGTTAAAGAGTTAGGCTATGTGACCTTGGATAATTCACTTAACCTCTCTAAGCTTTAGCTTCCTTATTTACAAAATGGGAATAATAAAATCTACCTGATGGGTTGTTGTGAGATTGTGTTAAAGCCTTTAGCAAAATACCTGCTTGTATTGGGGAGCTCTCAGTAAATGGTATATTCATACAGGTTTATTCAAATCAACAGTCAACTAAGTGATGTAATCAGTGAACAAATCTGGATTCAGTGATTGTCATTCAGAATCAGTATTGCTATCTTCATTCTTTAAAAACTGAATTGTATTTTATTCTTCAGAACAAAATTTTGTGCTGATAAAGGATTATGCTACTTTAAATGCTACTTTAAAATGTATTCTAGATTGGGTGATTTAGGCTATTTAGTTGTCTTTCTGACTCTTGGACTAACTATTGTAAATACATTGTACTGCCTAAAGGTGTAGATAGTTTTTTGGGTTTTGTTTTTTTATTTTTTATAGATTTTCATAGCAGTGGCTATAAAATGCTATCTTTTGCTTGTGTTGCTTATAAGTGATCCTGGATTATCTTAAATACATGACAGTACCAAGGCAATAAGTTATTTTTACATATATGAAATTTGAGGTGTTATTAGCACTGCAAATGTGCAGATAATCATTAGAAAGAGATGATGAACCCATTGAGACAAACATATATCAAAGCATAATTAGCCTGGAATAACCTCCCCAAATGAAAGTTACTATAAATAATATCCTTTATTTCTGTTTATGTGTAGCAGAGATGAGTTCTTGCAAGCAGGTTCTATCTTCAGTAGTACATATGGGAAATTGGAGAAGATTCATAATTATAGCTATGTGAGAAGGAAAGGGACAGATAACAAGATCTTACCTTCCATTTCCTGTCTTGCAATGGGAAAGTTCAATATAAAGAATTCTAAACTAGAACAAAGAAGTAGAGTAACAAGGGATTGGCTAGGAGGAAATAAAAATTCTAAAGAACATGTGAAAAGCACATATAAGGAGCAACCACCACCTGTCAGGCAAAGCTAGGACAATCCAAGGAAGAGTGCCTAGTCTACCTCAGGGCTGAGGTCCAGACTTTGATGGAAATGACATCGCTGTGACTTCCTATATGAGAGAGAAGTCACTGTGGTATGTGCTGGTATAACTTGCTGGAAGTCAGCTCTCTTAGGATGCTGAGGAGAGCTATTCATAGGAAGGTGTCTCAGTGGAAGCACTGTGCTGCAGAACTGTCCAACATGGGTGCTTGGGGAGGCTGCTCCCTGCTAAGTGCATTACAGGAACTGGCTGCTAGAGAAGCTGTGTGCACTGTAGGAGTCTAGTGCTAGAAAAAGCTATGAACATCACACTAGTCCCGGTGTGCTCTGTCAAGCAAGCACACTGGGACAGAAGGAAAGCCCTTTCCTCCAGCAGTGTTCTTCAACATCCTCTGTGAACAAAGCTTAGCATCATGCCAGCTGTTAGGAGGGAAAG